CTTCTAGTCCTAGCCGAAACTATCAGATAAACTCTACAGGGGATGAATGACATGTACACCCCACACATGTGTACCAGTATGTACATTGTACATGTACACTGTACATGTATATGTGTACATAACACCAAAATGAGACCAGGAGACCAGTGACAAACTGGTAATTCAACAAATATACTATGTACATGACCATGTGGTTACAGTAAACACGTACATTGTATGCACAAGTCAAGGCAAAATCAATGGTCCTGCTACATGTAAACACAAAGCCCTTCACACAGGGTTCCAAGGCTGCCTTTTCAACTCCTGTCCTTTTGTGAAGATCATCCCTAAGATTACATGTAAAAGGGTCGGGACATTAATTAAATCACACTGGAAGAAGTTTCCTGCTAATATACATATATGTACATGTATGTATCTAAGTACATACATACATACACATATATGAGAATAAACGGACATTATGTCTTGTGGTTTAAGCCTAAAAAGGACATGAGCAGAATCCCTCTCCCTCCAACATTTTCTCAAATATCATAACAGGGGTAGTGACTGGCTTGTCACTTTTAATCCAAAGAGGACTCACGCGTTGTCTGTATTCATTTCTAGATCCCCACATTTCCTTGCTTGGAAATGAGTTCATCACCTTTGCAGGAAGTTCCTCACATCTGGCTCCTTGGACTTGATATCACCTGCCAGCTCTCCTGGGACAAGTACACATTTGATGTTGCAAAAAAGGTCTCGGTTATTAGTCCCGCGCACGGCATTGCCTCCCTCCTGCCGCCATTTTCTACTTGTTTAAGTTCACAATACGTCCTGTCATGGAGTAATGTTAGGGCTGGGGCTCCGGCCCTTCATCTATTCCTGTTGGACAGAATCCACCGGCATGTTGTTAACTTGGTGGGACATGATCTGGCTGCATTCCTGGAACATCTATCACTCCATCGTTCCGTAGCATCTTGGTCCCTATTCTACAAATTCACAGAAGGTGCTCCAATGGCAATTCTGCCTTAATTCCACCAAATCGTCTCACTGCTCACACTACACATTTTTCTACTCGACTCCATCCATATCTACAGTTAATGTCCCTAAAGCCAATACCGTGAGGTACTCATCCAGTTTCTTCCTACTCTATGTACTGCCTCGCTTTGGAACGCCTTATCTGCATCCTGTTTCCCAGCTTCTTATGACCTGTCTCAGTTCAAACGAAACAGCAACAGTTTCCGTTCCTCCTTCTCAATGTCTCATGCTCTTACTTCTCTTCTTTAACTTTGCTTAGCCCTTACCCTGTGTGGCCTCTTGGGGCATTCTGTTGGGCGACTTCCATCAAAAACAAAGTACCGGTACAAGTATACTCTATATTTTCTAGCGCCAAGACTTCAAGAGTTTTGTCCAGTTGTGATACATGTACATGTACATGTTTGTGTGGGGTATACATGTACAGTACATGTCATTCATCCCCTGTAGAGTTTATCTGATCGTTTCGGCTAGGACTAGAAGTACCTGTACTTCCCAAACATGTATTACATGTACATTGTACACTGTACATGTATGTGTATGTACATGTGTGCTGCTGCTCCGCCATGGCTGCTGTAAGTCTGATGGCTACGGCTAACGGCTGAAGCCAATTTCAATAGGTGTGTGTTATTCTTAGCTACAGCCACTGAATTCAGACATACATTAATGTCTTGAGATCATTTCAACACCAATTTTGTAAACACAGGACATACATGTACATGACCTGGTCATTCTCACCAAATGCCCATTCTTTTGAGACAGGACAGCCAAAAATACATTGCTGTTTCCAATGCACGCGTGCCGATGCCCGTGAATCCTTGCACTTCAAATGATTATCACACCAAAACATAATCTCAAACTGAAGGGAGACTTCAAAGATATGCTCATAAGAGTTGTCTCTACGAGCATGCAAAGCTTCCAAGGGATCAGGTATCCGATAGCCGAGTTCTGGGAGAGAAGTGGAATCTGGTATGGTCCGAAAGGGCCTGGCTCTTTCAGGGTAAGGTTGTTTGAAAAGAACAGCTTTTGGCCATAAATCATGATGCCACTATTTCCTGGAGTCTGGGGAAAAAAGCCGATGTGAAATCACCCCGGTCATCCATCCTAAAAGATTTACATATTCAGAAGGGACTGCCCCCTAGAATTCACATGTCCTTCTGTCCCTGCGTTTAAAGTTTGTTTGGATTGTACTGTGTTCTAAATCAACAATCGCTGATCAACAAGGGGGAGATGTTTACACGTTCAAACGTATAAATGGAAAAAGTTCCAAGTGACAGATTTTCCAAAACGTTTAAACGGAACTGCCCCTTTTTAGAGGTTTGACGTTTTAATTGACACAATCTGGCGTTCATTTTTATTGTAAATGATGCCTGTAAAACGTTGAGTCATATCAAAGGAATACCATGAATTAATCACCGGAACTTTGAGTAAACTATTTACATTGTACACAATTTGTCGTGTTTGAAGTTTTCAGTGACACTGTGGAAAGGGTGGGATGTTTACACGTTGGAACAATATGGGAAAGTTTTCTAAATATTATTCACATTCTTACATTTACTGATCAAAGATCTGTCCACATTGCTATTAAAACAACATTTGGACACTAGCTTCATTCAGTCAACTTAGTCTTGAAGTGAGGTCCATATTTTATAAAATGTGTATATCAGACTTAAATCCAGCGGTGTAAATATCAAATCAGAGATGAAACTCACAGAGAATTAGTCACAGGAAACAACCAAGTTTTGGTGCTGATGGCTTCAGTCTAAAGCAGCTCGCGAAGTGCTTAGCCTTGTATGATATTATTACCCTTGAATATGGTGTACAAGATTTAGCAAAAAAGACTTGACCTAAAAAGTCTTGAGACACTCTCTGCAATAGCCATTCAAAGACCAAAAATAAGAACATTAAGTGGGCCAATACATGTAAACTTCATTGTAAAGCATCCACTTGTTTGAAGTTCCCTTAGATTCAACTGCTATGTTGAGTGGGCATGGTGTAATGCAAATATAAAGTACATTTTAAGACTTGTTTACGTGTAACGGTACATATCGTTACATGAATAATGTACATGTACTAGTACAGTATGTACATGTCGATTGGTTGACTTTCACAGTGACTTTTGCAACAAACACACTGCTTTTAAACAGCAGTAATGAACACGAGTCACACTGACGCAAAGACTAACGTCCTGTTCTTTATGCATGCACAAGGCACAGCTGCAGTAGACCAAGACTATACATGTACATGTAGAATGAGACAAATAAAAATTTTCAGTGTGAAGTAAAAAAACTGTGAACGGAATTATTGATTTGCGCCCCTGGAACTTTTAGAACCACATGACTCATAGTCAGCCACAGATATGTACTGGTAATGTAACCGACATGTACAAAGTACAGGTCGCTTCGGTATACACGTGTACATGTACATTCACGGGGTTGACAAGTTATGCATCGCCACACAAAATATTGGCACAATGATGCTTGTACACTAAAAACACCAAGCAGATGCATCTTAAGGGGAATTTTTCTTTTTTTCATGCAAGCATGTACGTGTATGTACCGGCATACTGCAATCTGATTACATTTCTACACTGAAATCACAAACTCAAAACTAGCCACACATGGACTGAACATCATGGGAAGCAATGATTTTGTTATAACGGTTCGTACAGTTGGGGCCTCTAAACTTGAAAACTTCAACTGTTTCGCATGATTACACCTGGTGGTAAAAACATAAAACACCACCTAAAGAGATTTAACTGAGAAATCTCGGTGCTAAATATTCATTCGGATCACCGAGATGAAAGGAATACAGTACTGCTATTAGGGTAAATATCAGACGATGGGAAGCACATGCAGTTTAAACCTGGGAAATCATTGCCATTTTTATTAAAGATTTATCATTAGACTGCTGGAGAGATCGACTTACATTTCGTTTTTATTTAGGCCCACATGCACATATCTGTTCATCCAAGAGCACATTTAGCACCAGTTACATGTACAGGATAAAGCTCAATTGTAGAATACCCCACCATCCCGCAATATCAACCTCATACCCAGGTACAGGTCAAAGTGTCAAACTCAAGGGATTTTCACCTTGTACTCACGTAACCAGTCATTCCAGGGGGTCTTTTTTTTTTCAGAGTGGCAGGGGTATGCTGCAATTACTCCCAGGATAATGATGAGTGAAGAAGGCAATGAAGAAATGTTCAGTTTTAGAGGTGGGAGGAAAATCCTGGGTAACTGTTTCTGGGAAAACCTGGGGACTCAGGTAGAGACTGAAAACCCAATCCACATGTGGACCGGGCCGGATTTGAACCTGGGCCGCCGAGTTGTAAGGCGAGGAAAGAAACACTACGCCAACCTGACTCCCTTAAAATCCCAGAGCCACGATCTATAACTTTGAATTGATGACTTGATGTACAGTCATGACAGTTGCCATGGGTGTCATAATCAGGATATTGTCTTCACGCATGTCAGGTCAGCTCATCAGGGACCAAACAGTCAAAGCACAATCTAACAAGCTTCGCTGCTGTACTAGGTCGTGCACATGTTGCCTGATCAAGCGACAGCACTAACAAAAATTTGCTGTCGCTTGATCAGGCAACACGTGCACCATCTATCTAGCTGTCTACACTCGGTCTAGCGGTGGAGCTAGTTAGATTGTCATGATTGTTCTTTGGTCCCTGCCATGCGTGAGCTGACCGGCCTGACATGCCTGAAGACAACATTCTGGCAATCATGACAACCGACAACTGTACTCTACCCCAGGCCATTGGCTTACCCTGGAGCCACAGAGTCATGCAATGGGGTGGGCCACAACCTGACAACACCGGATCGACGATTGGATAACCATCCATCGTGTCCATACCCTGACCCGGTGTCTGTCATGTCTGTGTGACCACGACAGCCTGACTAACATGACTGACACGACTCTGAAGTCGTGAAAACAGAGCCAGCATGGCTAGCCACACCTTATTAAATACTTACCATTTTTTGTGTTTATTGTCAGACGCAAACCATCACAACAAATAACTGACTCTCTGCGGAAATATCTTCAACGTTCAAGTTTATCCCGTGACATCGTAACCAAACGTCTGTACCCACACCATCACCTCCCATTTACTTTCTGAAAATTGTTGACCTCTGAAGTTGACCCAGAAAACCCATTGGCAGTTTTCCCAATGGTATTTTGCGAAATACTGCAAGAAATGAGTGATACTCACCGGGCACCAGCTTTCTCAATTGAGCCAGTTTTACCGCCCAGCTGTGCTCGAGATGACGACCGGTGAGTCCAAACTACTTGGCTATGGCTTGCAAAAACTCGTGTCCATGTTTACGTGTACATACAAGCCTCAAATGAGTGCTTATAGCCCATCACCCGCAGACTTTGGCGACAGTTGGGCTATATTTGGGCTATCTTGATCTGGGGCGTGTAAATGTAAATAATTTTTCCTACATAGGTACAGGACACAGGAAAGGAGCATAAACAATACATATGCTTGAGACACACTACATGCGCTACTAGACTGTCCACTGGTGAAGCGCGCGCGCGCGAACATAATCAAATTCGTATGTGCGGCGTGCACGTAAGGCAGATCGTGGCCGGGCGCTATTTCCACTTTACGTTCTCACGAAAGTCTCCCACCATTCAAGGATAGTCCGGGGCAAATCGGTATGCTCAGTAATTGTGATTAGATTCTGATGGAGAAGGCAGTCTTTGAGTGTGTTCATCTGTAAATTCGACCAGCGTTTCATTTTTGTCTTCGGTCCTGCGACGTACGACGGTTTCGGGCCCAGGATCGGACAGGAGCACACATGACAATGGTCGCGGAGTGGATTTCCTGCCTGGACAAACGGTAGGTTAATTGCTGTGTAGTTTTTCCCCGGGTAACCTCGCGCTTGTTTTTGACGGTCCCCGGAGGCTTGGGAGTTGTACATACACACGGTGGCTAAAACAAAATCCAATCCATGACGGAGATTTCTTGTTCTCGGCCGCATAGATTTGTCCTGCAACATACTTGAAAGCCCGAACACGCAAGATGCCCAAAAGCCTGCAGCACGCAATCACACCACCACTTCACCGTGCCCTGCCGTGGACCCAATTTCAATGTTACAATTTCCGATTTGTATCGATTGAAACTAAACTTAAATTTGAAATGAACGTGTCATTTTGATAAGCTACTTGTTTGTTAATTGATCAACATTACCTGTACCATTTCTTGAAAGAGTTCTGTCTACGGACAACACTCAGGCCCTGTGCACAAACTATGCCATGAAACTTGTTTGTAATTTTAAATGTTTCAGAATTTTCTTAGCTACCTTTCACTTTTTAGGACATGCTATCACTTTCTGACAGCTGCTATAAAGTTTTGAGGGAAAAGTAATATTGTCCATATGTGGAACGCTTTCTGTTTAGGCCTACCCTATCTTTGAGCATATTAAAGGCAAAATGTGTGTCACTGAAATGTATACACGCATGTCAGAAAGTCGTAGAATTTGCCTTATGTCAGGAAACAAACAGTCTTACATCATTCAAATAAAACAATTTTAAAAATGGTGGGATAGGGAATTATTTTATGGATTCCACATCTTCAGATCCAAAGATAAGTTAGAGTGCTAAAGAAAGTGGTGTATTTAACAGAGGATAAAACAAGCACTCAAGCTGCGAAACACTAAATACCAGTCTGCTGTTTTCTTTGGTATCGTATTTGATGACCTGTTTAACATCAGGAATTCAGATTAGTTAAAAAAGATATGCGAGGCACCATACTGTGTGGTGCCTCGCATAAATCTCATTAATGATACATGTATATGTAATTGGAATCCATGACAGATTGGTTTGATACTGATGACATGATGCTATGCACGTCACATGGTGTATACAAAGTGTATTCTGCACAAAGGCAGAATTGTTTCACTGTTTGTATGCACATCAGCAGGACTGGAATTAGTGAGGACATTGTCTGAATAAGACACTTTGTTGGAGAAAATACACGCCTACTTCCAGATAAAAAAGGGGCAAAAAATCGGACAGAGCACAAAAATCCAGTTGGGCAGCAGTGTAACCTAAAAATTAATATTAACTGGTCTAATGAAAGTTTGTAAACTATTTTTAACTAAATTGGAAGTCACTCTTAGTCTCGAATTTTGTGGAGTCAACAAGAAATTTCCCTTGTACAACTGTACATTGTGGTCAACAACGGCAGTGTCGGAAGTACATGTTCCTGTTTGTGGGCTGTCATGGTTCCTTGCTTTCTCCTCACAATTAGAAAAAAACACCTTAATCTTTTGAACATTATTTTTTGGGGGGATGAAGTTGGAATTAATTTGTAGTTATCAAAGGAGAGTTTCTCTTTCCCACGTTTAGAAGTTACTCTGCTGAGTTTGTGCTTTGCTGCACCTTGTATTGTCTGTATGTGTAATTTATACATACACATTGTAAGTACCATCATCATCATCATCATTTCCAATAAGTTTTTTCCCCTTCCATTTGATTTCTCATCTCTTTAATTCACCTGTGACAGTCAGCAGGCCGGAGATATCAAACCCCAAGTATTGCCACTCAGATCTTATCCAGCACCCCATTATTTCTTGCTCATTGCATTAGCGTTCTGTTACTTAGTTACCAAGCAGAAGTGCTGTGGAGCGGTGCCAGAGACTTAATTACAGATTGTCAAGGCAAAGAAGATTCTCTCAAATGAGGGGGAAAATTGTTCCCGATGTTAATGATGACATCATAGAGAAGACAAAATAAAGTGTCATTTTGATCACAGACGGTGGGACTTTCCACTGAAGGATATTGTTATAAAGGAGGAATTTCTCCTGCTGGGTTCTATTGCCTGGTGACTTTCAAGAGCCAGTGCGAAGAATTCCACCAAGCGTGCTCTGCGCAGAATCAGATGCACAACTGCAGGCCTACCAGGTCTGACATCTTATCATCGTGGCCCATCATGGTCCATCATGGCCCATGAAGCACACGCTCTAAAATTGCTCGCAGACAAAATGTAAGTTTTCCTCCTGGGGGTGTAAGCTTTTATCAGCGAGGTCCTTTTTCTTTCAGTGCATCAAAAAAATTAATTATCGTGACCTTTCCTCAAAAGGTGAAGTTCCATTTCACGTGTACGTGTATTTTAGCTTTGGAAGTAACCCCAGTTGATGAATAAATGACAGAGTGAATAACATACATGTACATGTAGTTTTAACCTAGTATGTATTTTGGGAGTCAGTTACTTCATTATAAATGCATAAATTTCTAAATACACCCAGTTTTTGCCTCAAAATTATAGGCAATTTTTGTGAATTTTACCCATATGGCAACAAGGGGCGACCGGCACAGGTGGCACCCTGAACTGGAAAATGCTTTATGATACACTGTAGCTGCCAGAGCCGAACACCTTTGTGAATCAGTTTTAAACTCTGCGATTGCATTCACACCTAACTCACAACGACGAACGATTGCCTAGGTATTTTAAGCAAGGTCTTCGCCCAAGAGGGATTACTCGACTCTATGCGATCTGCTCGGGGATTTTTCGGGTGGCGCTCGAGACTATAGCAGGCAAACGTGAATTGGTTTCCAAGCGACTCTGGAGTCTGTACCCTGCCAGATTGGGGCCGGTATTGAATGTCATTTTTTTTACCCTCGCTGCAGTCATTTTGCCTGCACAGCCATGCGTCGGGTGATCAATCAAGACGTTGCCATCTGTGGGAGATCCTCATTTTTTCACTCATTGTGTCATTCCTTTTTTTTTTCTTTTTTGGTAGCAGAGAATATGTCATCGTGATGTCTTTCTGAATATTGTCTGCTGCTTTCGAGGAAGTCAGTTCAGTTTTTAAATTTGACTTGTTATAAACCTCAATATTAGAAAATTGTCTCTGCTTCTGGCCCATTCTCAAGCACAGTGCATCATGTAAACTTATACATGTATGATAGATAATCCGGCATTTGGCAATGGGCTGCAAACTGCACTTACTGATTCTGTTAGATCAGAGAGGAGATCTCTACTACTCATGAATTTATCATTCTCACCTCCAGCCCTAAAAATAAATTTAATAAATCCCCCCTCAAAAGTTCTTAGCTCCCTCAATGTGCCATACACTTGATTTTTTTCCCAAGTTTTCACTCTGCAAACTTGAGCCAAAATTGTAATACATGTATTTCATTTGAAAATGCTGCCCATTTCCAGAGTTCCGCAGATTTGATCCTCACCTTCGAGTGCCAACCTGGTTTTGTGAGTTTGAAGTCGAAAGCCCATGCAGACAGGCCTTTCTGGTGCTGCGTGCACTCACTGTAATGGATACATACATGTACACCAACACTGCAAGTGAGGCTGATGCAGGCAACTGCTGAAAATATTTCATTTGGAGCCCAGCTTTCTTTCTTTTTTTTGGGCTTTTTATCTTGGTTTCGAGTTTGAAACTAGTTTTGAGCATGCAAGCCAAAATGTACATGTACATCCATGTGGCCCTGTTGTGTTAAAAATCACCATAGAGACTTCAGAGTGAAACTGTGTGCACTGTGAATTCAGAAAGCACGGCATTAGGCCTACTCAGTATTTGAAACGTGGATGTCTGATTTGCCATGAAGGAGAACCACTCACAATAAGTTGCACCGACTATTTTTAGTGTCCCTGAAAAAGGTCTGTCTCCGGCATGTGGGTCATCATCAGTAACTGCATGATGCCTTCCTGGTTACCGTACTTTAAACCTAAAAGAGCAGGGGCAGATGCCATTCCCCTCAATATATCTTTTCCTAGTTTTGTTTTATTTTTTCCCATTTTTTTTTCATGCTCAAGCCCTAAGGATTTTTGGTTTTATCTTGCAGTAATTTTGACCCACATTTTGTGAAAAATTGCGCATTCCGTTCTCAGGTAGCATGCATTTATAGGAACTTCAAATAACCATAACATCTAAGCCCTATGTCGTATTGAATTAAAACTAATACTGATAATGAGTGTCTTCACGTGCATGCTAAGTTGCAAGTTGTCGATTTTTTGGGAATGCCCCCTCCCCCCGGCTTTGAGACAGTCCCAAAAGAAATCTGGCTCTTCTACAGTTAAAGATGGCAAAGTCTTGTGAGTGACATCAGTGCAACTACAAAAAAACAGAGGAAATATTTGAATGGTTGTGCCATCCCCCAAAGAGACAAAGAAGAGTTCCACGATCTGGTTATGAGAGTATATATGTGTTATAGCATAATCACATTACAATTGTACATCTGTACTCTATTCAACAAATACAGTAAGCTCTCCAAAAAGGCCTATACATGTGCAAAGTATGTAGGTGGGATATCCAAATTAAGCCTCTGGCTAAAGACCTTAAAAGGCATGTAGGCTTCGGGGGATAAAGAGAACTAAGCTGTACTGAAATGTCTTTAAAGCCCTTAAAAATTTCTTTTCAGTCCACCAGATCCATCTCTGCATCTCTTATCAGTTTCAATGAAAAGATTTTATAATTGCATTCGTTTATTTTTTAAATGTGAATGTAAGTTAGTGCTCTCCTCATCCTTGGAGAAGTTCATATTACACTTTGCTTTTGTTTATTAAAGGCCATCGGATCGAACAGGTGAGGACCTAGACATCATCTACTCGCGCCTGAAAGACGTGAAAGCCTTTGAGAAGATCCATCCACTCCTTCTGCAAGAGATTTGTTGCTATGGTTACTATGAGGATCTCGAGAAGGGTATTACATGTGAGTATGGAGCATGTTCAAACAAAGCACTTCAGTCTCAGTTGCTTTCTTCATTTTGGATGGGGATGGGATTGGCGTAATCTGATCTTTGCCGGCATTTAATGATAGACTTTGTCCATCATCTTTCCAGTCAATGATGGAAGATACATGTACCTGCCACATTATGACATATGAAATGCCAGTTACGAATCATCGTGACTGTTGTGAATGCAATAATCGTCCTAGTATTTTAGACAGATGGGAGCATTCCAATTTTAACGGACCGTCCCATATCAGACTTCTTAGCCCGACTACATAACCTGCAAGACCTTTTCCGCATGGCTACAGGTGTAACACAGACATTTAATTACTTGCTGTACTCGGGTATAGCAACCCGAGTTGAACAGGGGAGCAGACCTTTGCTTGTGTTCCTGTTAAGATCACATCCAGCCTCAGTTCTCATTATGTTGCCATAGTTACCAAAATGAGTCTGAAAAAGCAATGTTAAAGCAAAAGATGTAGTCTAATGAATTAATTTTTAAACTTTAATTTGATATACATGTGTTGTTAACATGCCGTAATTTGAAAAGTGCATATTAATAATATGCATGCTGTGTTGCAAGGTTGCACTTATAAATTTGTAACCAGTGTACAATCAATGGCTTCATGAATAGGATAAGAAAATAAAGTAGGAAACAGAGAAGAAAAAAGCCATAGAAAGGAGAAAAGAAAGAGATGAAAGGGGAGGAAAACCGCCAGTTTGCTTATAAAAAACCTCTCAAATGCCCTCCTTGCACTTAAGGGTTTATCATTTCGAAGTTGATAATTGCTTTGTTCCCCCCCCCAAAATGTTTCCTCTTAGAAGAAGTTCTTTGCCCCATCCCTATCAAAAAAGTCCCAGTGACACCCGTGCCCATGATTATACACTCTCAAGTTGCAAGCTGCTGCATGCCTGGAACTTCCATACATGTAAATCATCTTTCCTGGGAAAGAGAAGACAAAATTAAAAAGACAGGCTTGGTTGAGCAGATGTTGCAAATCAGCCCTATGATGAGGCCATGAAAAATGCAACAGGCCAGGGATTGCCAAAAGATTGGTTGTCCACAATCGCAGATCCTTGGGGGAGACACCCCCCACACCATTGTAGCCAATGAGCCAACATTATAACAAGAAGGATAACATGGGGCGGTTAATTAATTTGGTTAATATTCATTATCTGCTGGTGAAGCGTTGGGAGCCAATGTACCCGGTACATGTACATCCCCATGCGAATGACTAGGGATGCATGTACCAGACACTGCTAGGGCAGACTCATTTTGATTGAGAACGGACTGATCGAGTGCAGCATTATTATGAAATGCCGGGCTCGGCGTTTTAGCCAAGGTGAACGCCCTGGCTTATCATAAATACATGCAACAGAGAAACGAAAAGAAAATACATGAATATCATACCGGACTGGAAACCTGTGTTTGATACTGATACTCGTATCAGAATCTACTGCTACATTTATTTTGGTAGATGTTTACGCACCAAAACTGGCACGCTCTGTTCAAGCGTTGTGCCTGTTTTGAAAAATTCTGGGTGGGAATTCATCTCATAGCTTTCATCTCCATGATTCATCTTGTGGCCTCCGTGGGGGTACATCTTAAGATACATGTAGATGCAGACGTGCAGAGGCTATATTACAAACATGACTTCATAGTATACATGCCAAAGGTAAACGGCAACATGTATCTATATGCAGAGTAAATATTGACAAAGCACACATATGTATATGTACACGCTTTAATACTCTGAAACTGTGGAGGCTGCAAAATGTGTTGTTTCTAGGTCCACTTCTTACAGAGTGTTTCTATATATACACATATGTACATAGACAAATTTTTCCAATCCTTTGTTTTGTTAAAGTACAATGTACCCTAAGTCTGCAAGCTTAATGTGCAGAAATAAAAGACACCAGACAGTGCAAACTGAAGCTTGAAAATTTGAAAAGTTGAACAGACTCGAAAAAGCGATTATATGTGGGTGAATGTTGCTGGGCATGAACTTATCATCTTGTGAATAAATTTATGTTGCGGTGGCATTTTTCATAAAATATGACTCACCCTTTTAATAAGTTACACTCTCTTCTGGTTTAATTTGAGTAACATTAATTTTGGATTTTGCCCTGCCCGACTTGTATTTTAACACTGTATTCTCAGTGTATGCCCTCAAAGGCTTGTGAAAAAAACCACAAGCGTACTCGGGTGGGACTCAAACCCACGACCTCCAGCTTACTAGTGCAGATGTATTTAACCACTCGACCACCAAGCTTGCCGGTGTCGGCTGGCTGGTTCAAATCAGATGTACCAGTGGGTACCGCAAACAACTATTTCAAAGATGGATGTGCGCCAGGGGGATGTAAATTGATTTTGGATTTTGCCCTGCCCGACGTGTATTTTTACACCGTATTCTCAGTGTATCCCCCGAAGGCTTGTGAAAAAAACCACAAGCGTACTCGGGTGGGACTCGAACCCACAACCTCCTGCTTACTAATGCAGACGACTTATAGGGCAGGCCAAAAAAATCCAAAATTAAATTACATGTAAATCTCCCTGGCACAAATCCATCTTTGAACTATTTGAGTAATCTTGTTCTGCACAAAATAACCTCTGCCTTTCAGCATGAACAGCAAATACGCTTATTGAGACTTCAGTGCAGAGTGAAAAAAGACATGAAAATTTTCCCACAATGTTGGAAGTTGCACATATACATGTACATGTAGGTCTGTACAGTAACCAATGTTGCAATGGCCATGTATTCAGTATGCGTGCCATGTTCGTAGTACGTGTGCGTGTATACATGTAGTGACGGCGGGTACAGTGTAGAATACATCACACTCCTAGTGTGCTGTACATGTACATGTATGGGCACTGCATGCAACTCGAGAGCACCTGGCACAGATCAGTGTCACATAATGGGGATGTAATGCTAAAGCGGGTAGGATAACGTGCTTGCTGTAAAGGTGTTCAGTCTCCTCCCCCCCCACCAGAAGAATCCGCCCAGCCGTGGATTACCGTTTGACTCATATTGCACTGGAAATTCTCGCCAAATCTAGTCCAGCTCCATCTCTTACTTGAAGTACATGCACATGTAGATTGATTTGTTCGGTGGACATCAAGCATTGGTTGAAATAAACTGTGCACATGTATGTTTCATCAAACAAATCCTAACACATTGTATACATTTGAAAATTGATTTCAGAAAAGTAGCATATAAAGTGTACAGTAGCAGCGATGAATTTTTCTCGGCCCCATTTTTTGTGCAATTTTGTACTCTTCTCCAGTGTATGAAAATCATGTGACATCCCTTTTTGGGTAAATTCATTGAAACATTTTTAAATATGAAAAATTGCACATGCTAAATTTCTTGGACAACTATTGTGAACCCAAAATAAACTCAAAACATTTTTGAGAAAGAGCTGCATGCTTGCTTATTGACAGCAATGAATCACTCAAGAAGAAAAATCAAATCAAAGCAAAATCTGCAAAAAAAAATCAGCAATTATTTGTTATAGAAACCAATGCAACATTGAGATTATCTTCCTGGGATGGCATCACAGTTTTACTTATGAATATGGAAATACTCTTTTGCATAAAAAAAGCATCACAATACTGTTAAAATATTGGAACAAAATTGAATTTATGAGTTTTATACATATGTTCGTGTGCATTTTGGAGGTTCATATTGAAAAAAGAATTATTGCAAATACAGGCACATGTACATGTATCCTTGAGAGAATTCATCAGAAAAATTACCAAATGTTTTGCACTTGCACTTCTGCAACCGTAACACTAAGTCACTGTTGTGCAAATGACTCTTACAAGGCAAGTGCACATGTACATGTATGTTAGTGCTCATGGACTACACTTATAATCAAAGATCGTATAGCGCCGAGGGCGCAAGATGGATAACTCTGCCCAAAGGGCAGTTTACGATAATGCTTAGACACGGGCTCACCAGGTGCACGTGCCTGCTGCGGCGCCTGCACCTTTGCATTAATGTGCATTGCGCAGGGGTATCGTTTGCTCAAATGGCGCCCGTGCAATTAGAACGTTTTACATGTATTCACTGTGAAGTTCGCCATCTTGTGCCACTTCGTGGCGCTATACGATCTTTGCTTATAATAAACTAATTGGTACGCACGTCTATCAATCACAGTTTGAAGACATTCAGTACGTGGTTGCTGTTGTATCCAAAGGCTTCAAAAAGTCTTATACATGTATTCAAAGCAGCCGGGGCCCATATTCATGAAACCCTGCTAAGCCTAGTTGGCAACTAAATTAGCCCGTAACTGCCAACTATTCCCTAGTTGGATACTAAGTGTTATTCACTTACACTGCTAAGATTAATTGACTGTTAAGTTGTCCGCTAACTTTAGAGGTGGTCTAGGGTACCTCCAAGTCACTAGTTGACAACTAAATCTTTCATTTTTATGTTTGGCTCTGCCAAGCATCGGCTTTCTTCCGGTTGGTGTTTGCATTATTTATGCTTACTGTCGTTGGCATCTTTGTATTCATCATACTTTTAAGCTATGAATAAATTCTCTTCCTGAGAATAATTAGATTTTCTTTTCTTTCTGTTGCCTGCTCGTGTATCCTCCATTTTGAACATGTGTGTTTACGATGTGGATAACACAGAACAGTTTGTACATTGCATTATGTAGACACACACCACAGTTTGTCCATGCACAACTCTATTGTCTAGCCACATAAACATACCAATCCTATTGAAAGTGAAACTGACCCATATTGTAATTTGCGGTTTGGGACAGTGTCAACCGCTAAGTTGACAACTAACTAAATCTTAGTTGACAACTACCTGGAATGTCCTTAGCAGGGTTTATGAATATGAAAATAGCAGGAAACTATGGAGCAGTCAACTAGGCATTTAGCAGCTTACTAAAGTCTAGTTGGCTGCTAGTTTAGCAGGCTTTTATGAATATGGGCCCAAAGTTTCAAATTGGTTTTAAAATTAATAGC